GTGAAAGGAAAGAAAAGAATGAAAATTACGGTATCGCTATAGTCGTTTATTCCGTGCATGGCATTAAGAATTTATGTGATTTTTTCTGCTCTAAAACCTTGGACAAAAAAATCAGACTTTTTAGCTAAACAGACTTTTTTGTTTCTCTGTGTGTGTGCCTGGATCCTGAACTTTCATGTATTATTCTTTCGCTCTACCATACTATACTGTATACTGTATAGTATGGTTTTTTAGTCGATACTGTCTAGTGTATTTATGTATAGTCTGTACATAAATGTATTATATATACTGTGACGTTATTTCGTTAAGAATGATTCACTTACGTTAAGAATTTTGCGTAATAAACGTAACTCCTTCGTTTCGTACGGTAAGAAAAAACATTTTCTTACCGTCCTACGTTATCTTTTCTCTTTCCTTTACTTCTACCGTCATCCGTGATCTATATTGTACATCTACCGTCACGACGGACGAAAGAACAGAAACGATGAAAATGACGCTTCTTACGTCTTACGGCCCATCACTACTTACGTAGTTAAGAATAAAATCTTTTGTCAATTTTCGATTCCAATCTGATTCAAAGCTATCTTCCATCTTTAAACTAGATTCAGTTTTAAGGAAATACTGCGAAGGAACTTAATCATTAATCTACAATAACATTAATTGATTATTATATACTTTGTCATCAAAATGCACTTGAAAACTTAAAAATAACATCAAATGATGATATTTGTATTTCCTAACAAATTAAATCAAATTATGCTGATGGTTCAAGATGGAAAAATTTATTATTATCATTATCAAATGTTACAAAATTTAAATTATTAATGCAATTAGATGATTATTGATTAATTGATCATAATTGTATAATTGGAACATTTTCAAAGAATTTTTGATTATGTCAAATGAGCATTTATGTAAAATGTTATTCAAACAATAAAACAATTTATTTAGATACAATTGCATATTCTTTTCTTGAAGGAGATGATTGGTTTCGTACTTTTATTTACTACGCTCATAAACCATGACACTATCTTTCTGTCTCAACTCACGATCAGAATATATACTCCAAACATCATAAAACTAAGAAAACAACATTTTGATGTATAGTACAAGCTCGTTATTACAACTTTCTAACATTGTTGTCCTCATAACTTCTTAATTTTCGTATTTGTTAATAATCTGTGTCTCAGTAAACAACTTTTGTGAACATAGCCTAAATAATTTAAAAACAATATATTTTTCTTTAGATTTGTAAAATGACACCAAAAAAATTACCTTATTTCTTGTTCTGATTGTAATTTTCTTCTTGCAGTTGTTTTCGTTTAGAATGATTTGAGAACACATTGAAAGCTTGGAGAGTAAATGTAAATTTTATTCAATTCATAGTAGTTCTATACTCAATGTTTCTCTATATAGTAGTATATCTTCTAGTATATAACGTCATTTTTTACGTCTCCATCAACTGTTAAACAGATGTGGGAGATAACTAGGTCACTCTTATACGTTTTGGATTCAACGGAAAGATTCTTCAAATCAGTCAAGTTAAGTCAGAAAATCCCAAACCCTCTCTCAAGTCAAATGAAACTTTTTAAACAAATTTTCACAAATGGATATCAAATCGGTGATCAACGTCAAAAGTTTCTCCAGAAAAAGTGTGTCTCAGTCAGTAAGCGATTTGCAACTTGCGGTACTTCCCTCGTCAGTATAAAATAATACACACTTACAGAGCAAAATCACAACTAAATAATAGAATGCATTCTGAATGAAATAATTGAAATAAATGGCAATTAAATTTTGTTTATTCATTGTTTTTTTCTAAGTGTTGTTTTCAGCATATAAACTTTTTGATTATGTTTTGTCGTTCAACTAGTTCTTGTTATTTTACTCGCTGATCAAATTCAAGCACAAGATTGTTTATTGTGTGTAATGTAAGCCAGCACATATTCCAATTACGAGTTCTACTAAACAATCGCTCGGCTACGGTTTGTAGGAATTAAGAAGATCTGTTGGGCTATTTTAAGTAGCATGTAATACTCCATTCGATGTTGTATATTATGTCAGAAATACTAAAATGTTGAAATGATGCGAAATAACTTGAAGCGAAACGAGCTTTAGCGGAAGCAGATGTGAAACGAGAAGCTACAACAGTAAGAATGCATCATTTATAAACTACTCACAAGCTGATTTTATTCTTCTTCATCCTCCTCTTCACTGTCAATCTCTTCAATAAATACGGAACTATGTAACTTGACACCACTCTGAGTAAGGTTATGGAGTAATGAGTGTACTTTACTTTAACAAACTAAAGCATATAAAATCTTATGATATCCATATCCATTATTTGTATAAAACAGATAGTTTATTCGGATTTTGTATAGAGTCAAGCGGGGCGAGTTCGTAAAAATTTTCATCACTTATGAATATTTTCTTCATAACTTTATACATTCTGGAGATTTTTGTGCGCTTTCTGGCAAATGTATAGATCAACAATTTCTCTATCGACCTATGTAAAACTCTTCTAAAAAAAGCCGTCGAACAAGCTATCTCTAAGAGGTTTACAGTCTCGCCCCGAAGACTTTCTATACTCGCCCCAATGGAGCAAGTCTGTAAAAGGTTTAGGCGTCAGTGGAGCGAATTTGTAATCCTATACAAATTTGCAGTTCTCATTAAAATGTAATTATTTTAATGATAATTAATGATTTCAAAGTTAATTTTGATATCATTCGATTCGTCATATTTCGACAAATACAACGAACCTAATCTTCAAACGATTGGATTATAAAATAGCTGACTTGCGCTTAAAGGAATAGCATTAGGTTGAAAATAAAAATTCTAACTGTCTGTAATCACGTAGATATCGATAGAGCCAGTTCGTAATCATCAGTAGAAACACTGGAGATTAGCTGTTGAGGTCAAACACAATTATATATGCTAATTTTTGATATAATAAAGATACTTTTTTTGCTAATCAACTGAGAATAATCTAAAGAATGGTACTTAGCTAATTTCAAAATGAATTTGTCAACTAAAACTTCGTACCTTTAAGAAAAGATCAAAATCTGAAAAAAGAAATGAAACATATAACTTTTATGGTAAATATTCTCACAAGTCAGTATATGAACGTTTTAGTTAAAATAATTGTGGTAAATCATTTCTAGCCAATTGACAATAAGTACAAATCAATTGTATTGGCTGATACGAGAAAGTTTGTGTACAAAAATAACATATAAGATTTGAACAACTAGCATAATTCCAATAAACAGTTTGTAATCCACTAAAAGTTGTACCACATTGACAGCAAATCAATAATGATGGTGAATCGTAATTTTGTGAGCACAAATCAGTATATATGAGTGGTGGATCAGGATGTGATGTTGTATCTGCAGTTGTGAATGTTGTAGCAAAACTGATAATGATAATGATGAAGTATTTGTACTTGTAACAAGACTGTTTGAATATGATTGATTATTTGTTTGTGCAATAGTAATGACTGGTAATGATATTGACATATCTAATAGTGATGAAACGTTTGACGATGCCTGTTGAACTATGGGTGCATTATTACTTCGTGGTGACATTTTCGATGATACACTTGTTGTACATGATGAAACTGAAATTTAACAAATAAGACAATTCTGCAATAAACTAAAGAATGGATCAGTTATTCAAAACTTACTTGTTTTTGATAATATGATCGGTGCAGATGGTGATCGTAGTAATGGATAGCTAACAATATTATTATTATTATTACCGATTGTATTACTTTTATTTATTGTATTATTATCATTTGTTATATTATCATGTGATGTTTGGTGGCAAATATTCTGTTGATAATGACCGTATAGGATTTGTTGTACATGTTGTTGATGCAGATGATGGAGTAATTTTTCTTTTGAAATTGCACGTTTATCATAAGGATAAATTCCAGCTTTAGCAAATCCTCCTGCACAATATGCAGGACGTAAAGCTGTATCATATAATTGCGTAAATAACACTGGAAATACACTTCTATCAACAATTGTAGCATTATTTCTTTAACAGTATTGATTTAACAATTTCCTCATTTACTTTTATTTTGACTTTCTGTTGCATTCATGTACTCTCTGTTCATAACATTTCTTCGCTTAGAAAAAAATGAAACGATCGTTTCCCTAGTGAGAAACGTATTCGAATCTTACTAAGATCTTAGTAAGATTTTGCTTACATTTGTCTAAGATCTTAAACAAATCTTACTAAGATCGTGAGATCCGAAAAGTTTGAGATCTGATAAGATTTTGTTAAGATCTTACCAAGATTACACTATCTAAGATTGTTTTAGGATTGGGTAGAAATCTGTTATATTCTTAATAATAAGATCAATGACATTTTTCTTATAATATTTATTTACGATTCACTAAGAATTTTTGGTAGGTGAGAAAGGTTAATGCTTTTTGGTTCGCTTATAGGAAGAAAACGGTTGCATATTACTTGATGAGATGTTTTTTTGACCGACCACCCAAAATCTAATTTTTTTGAATAATATCCCATGCAAAAGACGAATCATGTTTCAGCCAAACTTGAAATATAAAATAGCTGTTAACGAGAAAAAATCAAAAGGTAATTCAAGTATCTCACATTTACAATATTATCCTAGAAAATTACTTTCGGGAAAACTTAAATGTCGACTTCCATTTTAGATTTTTTAGAAGATTTGAACGCTACATTTTATAGAGCACTCAATGCTGCATAATCTAGATCTCTGTTTAATAGTAGAACATCTTTTCTTATTGTGCTAGGTACTTGGTGATTCACAAACAAACGAATAGTTTTAGGATTTTTTATATTCTTCTCTAATCGATCTATAAATCAAAACCTCAGTAAGTGGAATACACTTTCGATAGCATCGCATCCTTCACTTCAACCTATTTAGATTCCATCATTTATTTATGTATTTGAAAATTGTAAATCTTTTAGTATACAGTGTAGAAACATCAAACCAAAATTGTCTTATGTCCAATATTCTAAGGAGCTTTGATCATAATGT